CCGAACCATACATTCTTGAACATGCGAGAACTCAAGACAGGAGCTGGCAATGAAATTCACCCAACAGAAAACAAATGAAAACCGAGAGTAAAGAAGCCAAGATTAAGAGGCTAGGGTTGAGTTGGGATCCAGTTAGATGCAGAACTAGATTAAGCAAACATAGTAGTTATGCACAGAACCGAATATGAGAGTTAAGGTTCACCATTAACAGAGGCGGTGGGGGGTGGGCGAGAGGGAAGGAAAAGAGGAATTTTCAAAGTGCTAATTTCTTTACTTTTCATAGTAAGGAGTCATAAGAAACTATCAAAAGTTAAAATATATATACTTAAAATGACTACAATATCAATGTTTCTCATAATCTTTTTTCTTTACTTTAGAAAAATCTGATAATTTCTTATTTTGAGAAAATATCAAGTTCACTGATTTTCATTTCAGTTTTATTCTTGTTAATAAATTCAAATAAAATTAAATTTTATGCCTCTTATCTAAATATATGACACGTTTTATTTTGTATTCTTTTAATTCCTCTCATTCTCTTACTATAGAAATACATGTCTGGAATGATGCCTGGCAAACATTAATGATGGTTATTTATGGGTGAGAGTATTCTGAATAATTTTTGTAGTATAACTTTTTAAATTAAAACCTGTGTTATTTTTACAAAAATAATAATTTCAGGGAAACAAGGGTGTAACCAAATTATTTTCTGTTTGTGTCAATATTCCACAACAGATCTCAAGTCCTTAACTGCAGGGGTAAATAAAATCTTGGAAATATGATCAAGAACCAACTAAGAGTCAGATAATTTCAAAAATGCTGAGGTAAACAGATGAAATTTCAAAGGGAGTTAAACAAAATCCTCTTTTCTTGTTGGGCCATATCTTGCTGCCTCTGTAACAGCAGATTTATGCTAAATATTATTCAAATTAATTCTTCCCAACCTTAATATAAATATCTCAAACACTCATTCATGTTTTATGTATAAACTTCTCTTCATTTAAAATTAATTCTTTGAATCGGAAACCTTGGATTGCCAAAGGCTTAAAACATTTTTAAAAAAAACGTGGTCCAAACAGTCTCCATTGGCTTAACTGGCCTCTCCTTTAGCACATTCCCTTCCTTTTGTGTGGACTTAATGGAAGAATCCCTAATTAGAAGACTGAAAGGCCTGATGAACACACCAATTTCTAGAGCCTTTCACTGATAATTTATCCAGTAGTTGAAATGGCAATAAGCCAGAAAGGTTGATGCCACGGCACTCTAGCCGGGGCAACACAGTGAGACTTTGTCTCAAAAAAAAAAAAAAAAAAATGAACATAGAATAACTGAAATTGGGATTAAGAAAATTTGGGGATATGTGAATTATATATTCATAGGTAGCCATAAAATTTAAAGTCAAATTA